ATTACTAAAATTCTAGAATGCGCAGAAATGGATAGATTAACTTTAGAGATCAAAGAGAAAGAAGACTCTTATCTATTTTAAAACATGGGAAATTTTTTTACCAATGGTTAGCAATACGTTAGAACGAGAAAAAAACAACAACTTTGAAATTAAATTGGATGAATGTGATTTTAAGCATGAGTGATTATAATTAATTAGTATTTTATTAATTATCCTTATTTAGCAAGATGAATAATATTTATTTACTATCCTTTATTTTTATGATTATTGTTAACCCAGTTTATTATAACTGTTTAGTATTATATAAGTGATCTTTATTCAACATTTATACCCGGACGCTTGCTAATTTGCTTGCTAAGCATGGAATTTTTGTTGGGGGTAACCCCATCATCGTACTTATCCTTAATCCATTCCCAATCCCCTATTCCTACCCTTTCCTATACCTGTACTGACTCTATTCTTTTCCTATTCTTATAAAACCTAATAAAATATTTTTTTTTTAAAAAAAGAAAGAAACACCCCCCCCCCCCCCAAAATATAAAGTGTATGGCTGTATGCAATGACTTCCAATTATTTTTTAGAAAAATATCATTAGCTTTACATCTCGATTTTTAGCTTTACGCCCCTCATTTTTCCGAGATTGTTAAAGTAGGGCTTTAAGACACAATTAAAGAGAAAAAAAAGGACAGGAAACCATTTCTGATTCTGCTGACTTAAGACAAAAATTGATTCTTGGATCCATTTCAGGTCTTTTTTTGCTGGTGATGTTTGAAGCCGTGGCCTGAAGGGGAAAGAATTTTTTTCCCCCTTATTTTCTCCGAAAAACAGCCAAGTTACGCAAGAGGGATATTACTTGTTTAGTTGGATTGACCGGATGGTTGACTATTGGCTCAGGATGATGGAGCCACGAATCTCAGCAGGGTTGAGCAGCTGGGACAGAATGTTAATTTAATCCCCTTTCTCTCTTTTTTTCCTCTCCTTCTGTCCAAATCAATTTATTTTTGTGTTCGTTGGTTTTTTTTTTACTGAGATAAACAAGAGTGGACAAGGGAACAACAGTTCAAGGAATCCCCACATGCTAAAAATAATTTGGGAGATTATATTTGGATTGATGAATTTACCGTCCTGGTCAGTGTTGGTGATCTGATAGTTTCATGCATTGAAGCATATTTTGTACAGTATGTGTTCCATATAGAACAAAATAATAGATCTGGAAGACTTGCAATTACCGTCTCCTGGCGATTGGCCCAAAGTCACCCAGCTGCTTTCATGGTTAAGGCGGGACTAGAACTCACCGTCTCCTGGCGATTGGCCCAAAGTCACCAGCTGCTTTCATGGTTAAGGCGGGACTAGAACTCACCGTCTCCTGACGATTGGCCCAAAGTCACCAGCTGCTTTCATGGTTAAGGCGGGACTAGAACTCACCGTCTCCTGGCGATTGGCCCAAAGTCACCCAGCTGCTTTCATGGTTAAGGCGGGACTAGAACTCACCCTCTCCTGGTGATTGGCCCAAAGTCCCCCAGCTGCTTTCATGGTTAAGGCGGGACTAGAACTCACTGTCGCCTGGTGATTGGCCCAAAGTCACCCAGCTGCTTTCATGGTTAAGGCGGGACTAGAACTCACCGTCTCCTGGCGATTGGCCCAAAGTCACCAGCTGCTTTCATGATTTAGGCGGGACTAGAACTCACTGACTCCCGGTGATTGGCCCAAAGTCACCCAGCTGGCTTTCATGGCTAAGGCGGGACTAGAACTCACTGACTCCTGGTGNGGGACTAGAACTCACAGTCTCCTGGTGATTGGCCCAAAATCACCTAGCTGGTTTTCGTGGCTAAGGCAAGACTTGAACTCAGTTCCTTGCTTTCTAAATGGTGCCTCAACCAGCAGACCCAACAGGCAAAATGTATTCTTCATGATAAAGCAAAATAAAGAAGAAAAATTTGTTCTGCGTGGCGATGAGTGACAAAGAAGGATTTCTAATTACAATTTCCCAGGGCAATGTCAATACTTTGAGGTATTTAACAATCTAAGGCAGATAGGCACTCCATACTGTAGATTTAGGATTTAACTGAAATTTATTTAGATATTTCGAGGGGATTAGATTCCATGTGGTTCTTCCTTGCAGGCTAAAAGCTAAAAGTGCTCCCAATTAGGCGTTCCTTATATAACTGGATGTCTCATTCAGGGTTTGGAAGGCATCCACGGACTGCCTGCTCTTTGGAAAAAATGTTCATTTTTTTCCTATTGCTCTTTCTACTTCTTTCTTTGTTAGCAAAGAAGAAGAAGAAGAAGAAAAAGTTAAAGAGAGAAAGATGGCCCTGCCTTGCAGGATCAAAGGAGTGTATTAGTGCAGGAATAATAATAATAGTAGTAGTAGTAGTAGTAGTAGTAGTAGTAGTAGTAGTAGTAATAATAACAACAACAACAATAATGATGATGATGATGATGATGCTGGTAGCAATCCGTGTCAACCATCAGCGCCAGCCAATTTGAATGTTCAATTGACTGAGGTTCATGTCTAATGAATAAAATGATGATGATGATGATGATGATGATGATGATGTTGGAAGGGACCTTCGAGGTCATCTACTCCAACCCCCTGCTCAGGCAGAAAAGCCTATACCATTTTAGACAAATGGCTATCCAGTCTCTTCTTAAAAACTTCCAATGTTGGAGCATTCACAACTTCTGGAGGCAGGTTGTTCCACTGGTTAATTAGAATAGAATAGAATAGAATAGAATAGAGTAGAGTAGAGTAGAGTAGAGTAGAGTAGAGTAGAGTAGAGTAGAGTTGAGTTGGAAGGGACCTTGGAGGTCATCTAGTTCAACCCCCTGCTCAGGCAGGAAACACTGTACCATTTCGGACAAATGGCTGTCCAGTCTCTTCTTAAAAACTTCCAGTGTTGGAGCATTCACCGCTTCTGGAGGCAGGTTGTTCCACTGGTTAATTGTTCCAACTGTCAAGAAGTTTCTCCTTAGTTCTAGGTTGCTTCTCTCCTTGGTTAGTTTCCATCCGTTGCTTCTTGTCCTGCCTTCGGGCACTTTGGAGAATAGCTTGACCCCCCTTTCTTTGTGGCAACCCCTCAAACATTGGAAGGCTGCTATCATGTCCCCCCTCGTCCTTCTCTTCGTTAAACCGGACATACCCAATTCCAGCAACCGTTCTTTATATGTTTTAGCCTCCAGCCCCCTAATCACCTTTGTTGCTCTTCTCTGCACTCTTTCCAGAGTCTCAACATCTTTTTTACATCGTGGTGACCAAAACCGGATGCCGTATTCCAAGTGTGACCTTACCAAGGCCTTGTAAAGTGGTATTAACTCTTCACGTGATCTTGATTCTATCCCTCTGTTAATGCAGCCTAGCAGTGTGTTGGCTTTTTTGGCAGCTGCAGCACACGGCTGGCTCCTATTTAAGTGAGCAGCAGAACCTGGGGGGAGGAGTCAAAAGAGAGATCAGCCTAGAATCCCTACATAGCCACAAGCGGACTAAAGTCAACTCCCTTTGAATCCCACGGACACTTATGGAAGATTAAAATCTCGAACATCTGGCTCTTCCGGGCTTGAGGATAGGGTGGCTGTTGAACTCCCATTGGTTGTTGTTTTTTTAAAAATATGTTTTACTGATTTTTAACATCCCATTGGTGTTTTTTTGGGGGGTGTGTGCATTTTATGTTTTTTTTTTCTGGAGATCCTTTCCCCCCCTATTTTAATGTTCCTTACAGTTTAAAATATAAGCTGTCCAGACTGATCTGTAGTTGGTCAACTTCTAAATTGAAATAGATCAATTGGACTAGATGACCTCCAAGGTCCCTTCGAACATCATCATCATCATCATCATCATCATCATCATCATCATCATCATCATCATCATCATCATCAATCATTATTATTATTATTATTATTATTATTATTATTATTATTATTATTATTATTATTATTATTATTATTATTGATTATCGCACAGTCAGCCAGATGTTCAGACTGGATCTGGCATTTTTGTCTACCTATTGAGTCCTTCCCAAGGACCTGGGATAGGCAGATGTGGATGTTTGGTGGTATCACAGATCTCGTCGCAGGATGGAAGCGGTTCCTAGTAAGGCCGCCTTTTGCAATTGACTGNTTTTCCTTCCTATTTTCCTCCTTCCTTCCCTCCCTCCCTCCCTTTCTTTTACCTTCCTTCCTCTTTCCTTCCTTCCTCTTTTTCTTTCTTTCCTTCCTCCCTCCCCCCTCTTTTTGTTATTCCTTTCTATTTTTCCTCCCTCGCTTCCTCTTTTACCTTCCTTCCTCTTTTCTTCCTTCCTTCCTTCTCTCCCTCCCTCCCTCTTTCTTTTACATTCCTTCCTATTTTTCCTTCCTTCCTCCCTCCCTCCTTCCCTTCCTCTTTCTCCTTCCTTCCTTCCTTCCTTCCTTCCTTCCTTCCTTCCTTCCTTCCTTCCTTCCTTCCTTCCTTCCTTCCAACCTAGGATGTTCTCGTCTATATCTGGAACTATAGGAGAACAGTATGGAGATTGATTTAACATTTATTCCCTATTTTATGGCATCTGGAACTGAAACTTGACTCAGAAGCCAAACCTTCAGTCCCCAGAGGGTTCCAGAATTGGATCTTAAGAAAAAAACAACAAAAAAGAAAACGCTGCCATTTGACAAAAAAACACAATTTTTGGTTTTCTTTCCTCTTTCTACGCCTTTGAGGTAGCTGATGTTTAAATGAGGATGCCTGCCTCCCCGATTCCAAGAGGGCCAATGTAAAACTATAATAATAATAATAATAACAACAACAACAACAACAACAACAACAACAACAATAGTTGGAAGGGACCTTGGAGGTCATCTAGCCCAACCCCCTGCTCAGGCAGGAAACCCAGAACAGAACAGAACTGAATAGAATAGAATAGAGAAAATATGGAATGGAATGGAATAGAACTGGAAGGGACCTTGGAGGTCATCTAGTGCAACCCCCTGCTCAGGCAGGAAACCCTAGACCATTTCAGACAAATGGCTGTCCAGTCTCTTCTTAAAGACTTCCAGTGTTGGAGCATTCACCGCTTCTGGAGGCAGGTTGTTCCACGGGTTAATTGTCCTCACTGTCATGAAGTTTCTCCTTAGTTCCAGGTTGCTTCTCTCCTTGATCAGTTTCCACCCGTTGCTTCTTAATTGTAACATGCTTTTATCAGGGGGAGAATCTCAACGTCATGACCGATTGCTTGAGTTTCTGACGTTCCCCCTTCTTGTGCTCCCCATACCAGGTTCCAGAGGCTGGAGAAATGGAGGCGGCCCTTTTACCAGGTCCTGAAAGCGTACGAAAACGCCTCCGTGTTGCTCCCGGCCTTCTACAACACCCACAACACCGACGTCTCCCTCAGGGTCAGGTACGTCCTGGACGACTTCGAATCCAAGAAGGCCGTCTACTTTTTCCACCCCAAGTATCTCACCAACGTCTCGCGCTACTGGCTGACGCAAGGGGTGCGGGCCAAGCGGGTCACCACGGGGCTGATCCTGGCGACGGCCGCCTTGGAGCTGTGCGAAGAGGTCCACCTCTTCGGATTCTGGGGTTTCTCCATGAACCCCTCGGGGACGTTCCTCACGCACCATTACTACGACAACGTCAAACCTCGGCCCGGGTTCCACGCGATGCCTTCGGAGATGCTCAACTTCCTCCGCCTACACAGCAGGGGGGTTTTGCGAGTCCACACGGACGCCTGCAGCTACTCCTGATCCCCATTCTCGACGGGTGGATTCGTGTTTCTTTCTTTTTTCTCTCTCTCTCTTTTTTTTAAAAAAGTGAAATAATGGGCGTTTCGGGGTCCTGGGCTCCATCCCGAAGCAGGAAAGCCGCTGAGGGGTGTGGGATACGTTGGGCCGGGCGCTCGCTTCACACGGACTTTTAACGCTTCGAGGAAAATTATGCAATAACGTCCGCGCTTCGGTTCCTCGCCGGGTTTTGCTTCCCTTCGGAGTTGGGGGGGGTCCCGCCGCCCCTCTTCCGCTCGCCAGACGTGTCGGGCTGTTTGGGGTCTCTTGGGGGAAGCCCCTCTCAGCGTTGTAGGAATAAGGAGCAGCCTGCCCCGGGGCCTCCTACAAGTAAAGCACATTAGCTCAAGATTTTTCCAGTAGAAATAACAGCACATCGCTACAAGGGTTTGAGTATTTCGTCATTTTTGGACGGCAGCTGAGAAACAGGAAATGCAGGTGGGCTGTTTTACAAAGCAGTTGATCATTTCTGTACTTCCTCCCACCCTCCTTTCATTCTTTCCTTCCTTCTTTCCTCCCTCCCTCCCTCTCCCTCTCTCCTTTATTTCCTTCCTTCCTTCTTTCCTCCGTCCCTCCTTTCCTTCCTTCCTTCCTTCTTTCCTCCCTCCCTCCCTCTCCTTCCTTTCTTTTCTTCCTTCCTTCCTTCCTTCTTTTTTTCTTTTTTCCTTCCTTCTTTCCTCCCTCCTTTCTTTCCTTCCTTCTTTCCTCCCTCCCTCTCTCCTTTCTTTCTTTCCTTCCTTCCTTCCTTTTTCCTTTCTTCCTTCTTTCTTTCCTTTCCTCCTTTCCTTCCTTCCTTCTTTCCTTCTTTTCTGCCTCCCTCCCTCTCTCCTTTCCTTCCTTCCTTCCTTATTTACTTATTTAGTTTCTTTTTTCCTTCCTTCTTTCCTCCCTCCCTCCCTCCTTCTTTCTTCCTTCCTTCCTTCCTTCCTTCCTTCCTTCCTTCCTTCCTTCCTTCCTTTCTTTCTTTCTTTCTTTCTTTCCTTCCTTCCTTCCTTCCTTCCTTCCTTCCTTCCTTCCTTCCTTCCTTCCTTTTTTCCTTCCTTCTTTCCTCCCTCCCTCCTTTCTTTCCTTCCTTCCTTCTTTCCTTCCTTCCTTCATTACTTACTTTTTTCCTTTTCCTTCTTTTCTGCTGTCCTTCTTTCCTCCCTCCCTCCCTCCCTCCCTCCCTTCCTTCCTTATCTCCCTCTTTCCTTCCTTCCTTACTAGTTTCCCCACAAATAACACTGTTGTGAAGAAGACAGCCATGGGTGTTTGAAACGATACACATCTGTTCCCCTTCCTCCCACCAGCGGCCTTCTCAAACTGCCACATTGCTCTTAGCCATGTTCAGCTTACTTCCTGTATCAATCTTGGGGTGAATACCCCCAAATTCCTCCTCCTCCTCGTAGTATGAGATGTTCTCCTAACACAGAACCAGGAAGTCATGATGAGCGCAGATTCAGATGAATTTCTCTGGAGACAAAGAGGAGCTTTCAATGTACGTGAAGAAACTGGGATGGAAACAAACCCTTGGAGAAGAGAGATCAAAGCTGGCCTGTCCAGTAGGAGGGAACACAGTTGAGAGAAGAGTTTGTGGTAGGCTTGGTCTTCGATGAAAATGACCAAGAGGTAAATGGAGGAGGATGTCCCACTGGACCATTATCCTACCTCTTCAGAGCAAAAGTTTACCTGGTCCATAGTTTTTCTCTCTGAGGATCCTGCACACTGTCCACAGAAGACATCATGAAGTTGGGGAAACTATCCTAGTGGAGTCCTAGGGGACAATCCCTTAAATAGGAGCCAGCCGTGTGCTGCAGCTGCCAGAAAGGCCAACACAGTGCTAGGCTGCATTAACAGAGGGAGAGAATAAAGACCACGTGAAGGGTTAGTACCACTTTACAAGGCCTTGGTGAGGCCACACTTGGAATACGGCATCCAGTTTTGGTCACCACGATGTAAAAAAGATGCTGAGACTCTAGAAAGAGTGCAGAGAAGAGCAACAAAGATGATCAGGGGACTGGAGGCTAAAGCATATAAGGAACGGCTGCTGGAATTGGGTATGTCTAGTTTAATGAAGGGAAGGACGAGGGGGGACAGGATAGCAGTGTTCCAGTATCTCAGGGGCTGCCCCAAAGAAGAGGGAGTCAGGCTATTCTCCAAAGTGCCTGAAGGCAGGACGAGAAGCAACAGATGGAAACTCATCAAGGAGAGAAGCAACCTAGAACTAAGGAGAAACTTCCTGACAGTGAGAACAATTAACCAGTGGAACAAACTGCCTTCAGAAGCGGTGAATGCTCCATCACTGGAGGTTTTTAAGAAGAGACTGGACAGCCATTTGTCTGAAATGGTATAGGGTTTCCTGCCTGAGCAGGGGGTTGGACTAGATGACCTCTAAGGTCCCTTCCAGCTTCTGTTCTGTTCTGTTCTATTCTATTCTATTTTCCAATATCCTATTCTGTTCTGTTCTATTCTATTCTATTCTATTCTATTCTATTCTATTCTATTCTATTCTATTCTATTCTATTCTATATTCCAATATCTATTCTATTCTATTCTATTCTATTCTATTCTATTCTATTCTATTCTATTCTATTCTATTCTATTCTATCCTATCCTTCTCCTACCATCCTTTCTCTCTTACATAAAACACTCCGAATGGTGGTTTCCCCAGCTTCATTACCTCACCTCTGAACACTGTGCAAGTTGCTCAGGAATCAAAACTGTGGACGTCGTAAATGTTGGCTCTAACCCAGCAGGATAGTTGTCCAGGTGGAACACCCCTCCCCTCTTCCCATTTTCACTTTCCAGAGGACAGTGAGAGGTTGAAAAACACGAGGGTATCACAAAGCACAGGATGCGTCACGACATAGCCCAGTTTAATCAAGAGCACAAGCATGCAAATGCGAGTAGATTAATAGGTACCCCTACCTAACCCTAACCACTTTGGCGGATAGCCACGTTGACCACCTGACCACGGACGTTTCTTCTGACAACGCTGGCTCCCTCGGCCAAGAAACAGGGATGGAGCACCATCCCTAGAGTCGGACACAACTGTTTACTTTGTAATCAGTGTGCAGGGCAATCGCAAGACACAAACAGTCCATCTTCTAAAGCAGAAGGTGGGACAAATAATAATAATAATAATAATAATAATAATAATAATAATAATAATAATAATAATAATAATAATAATAATAATAATAATAAAAATTGGAAGGGACCTTGGAGGTCATCTAGTCCAACCCCCTGCTCAGACAGAAATTCTTTGGTGCAAGTGTAGTTTTTAGACCCGCCCTGGGCGAAATCTGCAGTGATGGGACAACAGGAACATAATACCATCCTGCAAAGTTGGGAGAGGCAAATGTTACGGACAGGAGGCGGCTGATCCGGCATACGGCATCTTTAATTTCTTTTTTGAAATGCGTGAGAATTACCTGCTGACTTTTCCATAAGTTGCCTTTGGACTTGAGCAATGTACATCTCAGGGACCCGAAGGTTCAGAAACTCACCTCGCTCCCAAGTGGGAAAAAGAAAGTAATTGGACGTTTCTATCCATCCCGGATTCCTCCCCAATTCTCAAAAGTTAAACAAAGTAGACGGAAATTCCTGATTTGAACGTCTTTTTTTGAACTATTTGCAACTTTGGAAAACCGTGGAGAGACGCGGCTTCCTTTGCATGGCGCGGGCAGAGAATATTTTGGCCTGCTTCCTGAATCAAAACGCTCAACAGTAGAACAATGCAACTAAAAAGGATATGTTTTTATAGTTTTTACGCAGTGAAATTGAGCCATGTTGGGGATAGCGGTAGATGCCCCGTAGGACATAGGTTTACACAGATATGTGCCAAAGTCCACAAGCATGTGTGGGACAGGACTCTGGATGTTCTGTTGAATATTTTCATGGAATCAACAACATACAGGTAGTCCTGGACTTACGACGACCTGAGTTGTTAAGTGAATCATAGGACTGTTAAGTAAATCCGGGTCCCGCAATCGACTTTGCTTGTCATAAGCTGGCTGGGAAGGTCACAAATGGTGATCATAGGATTCCTCAACACCGCAGCCATCCTAAATACATGCCAACTGCCAATCATCCAGATTTCGGTCCCGTGATCACAGGGATGTTGCTAATGGTTGTAAGGGCAAGAGCTGGTTGTAAGTCACTTCCTAAGTGCTGCTGTAACTTTGAACCATCGCTAAACGAACGGTTGTAAGTTGAGGGTTACCTGCAACGTACAACTGAAAAACAACCCGTTTCTTGAACGATCAGGAACCTTGCTAAGGCTGCCTGCAGCTGCTATGCAGATGTTAGCTAACAGTAGTATTGCAGTTGGCTTACTACGGTAGGATAGAAAATCACTGCATGGGGGAAAATATAAATAAATTGCATAGCATCTTAAAATAGAAATTCCTCCACTGGCCTGTTCAAAAGCAAATAAGAAGTGGAACCAATCTTAATTAGAATTAGAATAGAATAGAAGCTGGAAGGGACCTTGGAGGTCTTCTAGTCCAGCCTCCCGCTCAAGTAGGAGAACCTATACCATCTCAGACAAGTGACTGTCCAGTCTCTTTTTAAAAACCTCCAGTGATGGAGCGCCCAGGATTTCTGAAGGCAACTTCTGTTCCACTGGTTGATTGTCCTCACTATCAGGAAGTTTCTCCTTAATTCCAGGTTGCTTCTCTCTTTGATCAGTTTCCATCCATTGTTTCTTGTCCTTCCCTCTGATGCTCTGGTGAACAACGTGACCCCCTCTGCCTCGTGGCAGCCCCTCAAATACTGGAATACGGTTATCATGTCTCCCCTATTTCTTCTTTTCTTTAGACTAGCCAAACCCAAGTCCTGCAACCGTTCTTCGTATGTTTTGGTCTCCAGGCCTTGGATTATCTTAGTTGCTCTTCTCTGAACTTTTCCCAAGGTCTCAACATCTTTTTTGTAGTGCTCCAGTGAAGGAGAAGGAAGCTCCTTCAATATTTGCGGTGCCAGCA